AGTGTCATGGCTATACTTATTCTTCTCTTCACTACAAAATATTGCTTCCAATATTCCCTGTCACACTGGTTTGGTGGACATTAATTCTTTTAGTCTGTTTATATCATGGAATGATTTTCTTTCTCCTTTGAAGTGTGGTAGATAGTTTTCCTGGGTATAATAGTCTAGATAGGGATCCATTGTCTTTTAGATCCTAAAGTATATTGCTCTAAGTTCTGACTTTTAAAGTTTCCGTTGAAAAATTGGCTGTTACTCTGATGGGTTTTCCTGTTTATATGACTCAGGTTGGTCTCTTGCAGCTTTCAGTACCCTTTTTTTGCTCTGTATACGTGTTTAGCTATAATACACTGTGGGACATTTCTTTTCTGGCCCTGTCTACTTAATGTTCCTGGTGTGTACTGGCTGGTTTTGTGTGTCAACTTAGAGCAAGCTGGAATCATCATAAGAAGGAGCCTCAGTTGAGGAAATGCTTTGATAAGATCCAGCTGTAAGACATTTTCTCAATTATTGACCAGTGGAGGGGAGGGCCCAGCCTATGGTGGGTGGTGCTATCCCTGGGCTGTTGGTCCTTAGTTCTATAAGGAAGCAGGCAAATTTGTGTGTCCTATGGTTCATCTAAGTAGTTCTTTTTTTTTCCTATTTATTTATTGTTGTTAGAGTTTTCCTGTCTGGCCCACAGTCAGGATAAATCTCTGCCACCCGCCAGTCCCACAACCACTCAGACCCTACCAAATAAACACAGAGACTTATATTGGTTTCAAACTGTATGGCCGTGGCAGGCTTTTTGCTAACTGTTCTTACAGCTTAAATTAATCCATTTCTATTAATCTATACCTTGCCACGTGGCTTGTGGCTTACCGGTACTTTACATCTTCCTTGTCCTGATGGTGGCTGGCAGTGTCTCCCTGCCTCAGCCTTCCACTTCCCAGCTCTATTCTCCTCCTTGTCCCGCCTATACTTCCTGCCTGGCCACGGGCCAATCAGTGATTTATTTATTGACCAATCAGCAACACATTTGACATACAGACCATCCCACAGCAATTTATTTATTTTTCTTTTTTTTTTCTTTATTAAGAAATTTTCTACTCACTCCTCATGCTATACACAGACCACCCTGCTCCATCCTCCCACCCCCCCCAGCCCTCTTTCCCAAGCCACCCCGCATCCCTACATCCCCCAAATCGAGGTCTCCCAAGGGGAGTCAGCAGAGCCTAGCTCACGGAGCCTAGGCAGGTCCAAGCCCCTTCCCACTGCACCAAGGCTGTGCAAGGTGTCACACCACAGGCATTGGGTTCCCAGAAGCCTGCCCATGCGCCAGGGACAGATCCCGATCCCTCTGCCTGGGTACCCCCCAAACAGTTTAAGCCAAACAACCATCTTCCATGTCCAGAAGGCCTAGTCCAGTCCCATGGGGGCTCCACAGCCACCAGTCCATAGTTCATGGGTTTCCACTAGTGTGGTCTGTCATCTCTGCACATCCTCCCATCATGATCTCGATGTCCCTTGCCTGCAGTATCTCTCCTCTCTCTCATCAATTGGATTCCCAGAACTCAGCCTGGTGCCTAGCCATGGATCTCTGTATCTGACGCCATCTGTCACTGGACAGAGGCTCTATGATGACAGTTAGGTTATTTGCTAGGCTGGTCACCAGAGTAGACCGGTCCAGGCACCCTCTGGACCACTGCCAGCAGACCAAGGTGGGGTCAACCTTGTGGATTCCTGAGAGCCTCCCCAGCACCCTGCCTCTTCCTATTCCCATTCATCTAAGTAGTTCTTATTAGAGAACATTTCTATGGGACTAGTGGGTTTAGCGGGGCATAGGATACTGTACTGGCCTTTTATATTAATTGAGGGTTTTTTACATTGTGACCTGGTCATGTGGACTTCTTTCATTGGTTGTATGTCTGATGTGCCATTCCAGCCTACCTCAGGCTGGACTGGTACAGGAACTGGGAGACCAGAGCTAGGCCTGAAAATATACAAATGGTGTGGTGGGCTTTTAGAACTGAGGAAATTCACCAGAGAAAGGTTGTTCAGGAACTATATGGCAGGAGGTAGGGCTGGAAATAGTGCCAGCAGACAGGGTCTTTATGTTGGTTAGGTTTGGTCAATTTGACATAAACCTAGACATATCTGGGAAGAGGGAATCTTAATTGAGGAATTGGCCTGAGGCATGACTATGAGGGTTTTTAGTTTGTTTGTTTTGTTTTGTTCTTGATTGATGATTGATGTGGTAGAACCCAGACCATTATGGGCAGTCTCACTCCTGGAAAGGTCATCCTGGGAGGTATAAGAAAGGTAGTTGGCCGTTGAACATGTTCCTAAGAGCAAGCAAGCAAGTTAGCAGTTTTCCTCCATAGTTCCTGTTGACGTTTCCGTCTACTTCCTGACCTGACTTTCCCTTAATGATTGAGTGTGACCAGGACATGTAAGCCAAATACACCTTTCCTTCCTAAGTTTCATTTGGTAATATTGTTTATCACAGTAGTAGAAGGTGAACTAGGACAGTCTGTCATCACTGGTTTTTGGTTTTTTTTTTTTTTTTTTTGGTTTTTTGGTTTTTTTCAAGACAGGGTTTCTCTGTAGACCAGGCTGGCCTAGAACTCACAGAAATCCGCCTGCCTCCACCTCCTGAGTGCTGGAATTAAAGGTGTGCACCACCAATGCCCGGCTCTGTCATCACTTTTTAATGACACTTAAATATTAGAATTGTATTTTTCATGTATATAGTTTATTAGCAAATGGATTATATTAAATGTATACTACAATGGGTAATATTTCATAGAATGGAACAAAAAGGTGTCTGTACCTTGAATTTTGCCCTTCAAGAATTTTCAGTTTTGGAAAACCAATATTACATGTTAAAATGCAACTACTATCAGTAGAAGAAGGAATAGAATAAATAGCCATGTTTTCATGAGCACAGCAGGCTTGTCCCTAGTCCCACTTTTATGTTCCAATTCCATTTTCTTTTATTTTTAGCTCGGGTTCGTCACTCATATTGCTTCCTGACATTCCTTATCACAAACATTATCATCTTCATTTACCACCTCAAAAGTTCTCCACAATGAATACCTTCAACCACATATGTTCCCAAGCATATAATACACCCCCTAACATTCTCCCACTGTCTGTCACAGCTCTTGCATACCTCACTTGTGTTTGTGTTAGAACATTTTGAAGTGTTTCTCAGGCAAGGATAATTGTCTTTCCTTGTTAACAGGATCATGTTCAACCCTATATGTTAGTGAATTTAAATTTCTTCATATATTTTTTGGAGTTTTAGATTTACTTTTTTAATGAAAAATTCATTTTATTGGTCAGGGTTTTTTCTATGGTGTATTTATTGCTTAAATTGTGAAAATATTTGTATTCTAAATGCTTTGTCATTTGGGTTTGGTATATTCAACATTTATCCTGGGTATATGTTCATGTATTTTACTTACCACATAAAAGTTTTAATTGTTATGTGAAATATGTTTGTCATCTGTAGTACAAATTCTAATTGGTCTTAATAATACAAACCTGGAGTCAGATGTTAGGATGAAAGCTGATAGGTCAGAGAAGCAGAGCAGCCAAAGTCACTTCTTACCTCACCAACTACTCAGCTGAAAGGGGCTTAGCTCCAGTCTCCGCCTCACCTTATCACTTCCTCTCTCCACCGAGCCATATCACCTCCTGTTTCCTCCTCACAAGTGCTGGGATTAAAGATGTGTGCCATTACTGCCTGGCCTATATCGTTAACTAGTGGCTAGCTCTGCCCTCACTCTGATCTCCAGGCAAGCTTTATTTGTTAGAGCACAAGCAAAATATCACCACAGCCCCCTACTTTTTATAGATTCATATTTTTTAAATCATGACCAAGAAGGTCTTCCTACCTTGTGTTGAAATACTGTATTCAGTTCCTTGAAGTTTCTTGTGATAGTGTTAATGTCTAATTTAGGGATACTGTTTTTCAAATACTTTGAGATCATTTTTGATTATTGATTCTCTCTTCCTTTATCAATATGTAAGTCAAAACAATGTTAAATACCTTTATTCACTCTATAACATTTGGATTTTCACCTATTGTCTTATCTGTATATTAATTTTCACTGTTTCATAATCTCTCCTTGCTGTGCTTTCTATTTATAGAGATGTTATTTCATGTCAGTAAAATTTTTAGTTTCTTTTGTCTTTTCATTTAGATTTCTTTCCTGGTACAGTAGAGTTATGGTTCCCATTTCCATTTCAGAGTTGAGGAAATCTTAGTTGGCATATGTTTATCTAATATATGGTAATCTACCCACAATTATTTCTATTCAGTTTCTTCAAGTAGGGTCTCCTGGGATATCTATATCACCTTCCTTTTCTATATCTTTATATTCATGTGGAGAGAAGTGATTTTGAGACAGCATTTCCTGATCTCTGTTTATGGAGGGATTCCTCAGGGCCAGCCCAGCTGAGAGCATGGAAATATTGTTTAAAGGTTGAAAGTGGGTGCTGTACAGTCTTTCTACTAGGAAAGGCCTGTTGATTTTCTTTAATTGGCCATAGTAGGATTCAGATCAGTGTGGTTTATAGTCTCTAATTCAAAAGCAGATTATTTAATTTAAATAATTGGTATTTATAATGTGTTATAAGCATGTCCCGTATGACTATTTAAATTCATCCTGAACTTCAGATATCTATGAGAAGCTATACAGTGGCTCATCTACATGATGTCTGAAATTATCTTAAGGGTTAAACAAGAATGAATGTTTAGAGATCCCTATGTGGGGCTGCAACCTTGCTTGCTAAATTGTTCTGTGGTTGCTTCTGGAACTGTGCATGGAGCAGTATCAGGCACTTCAGCTACTTTTGCCTTGTACATAGTCTTTGTAGGGTATTTAGGCATCTCTCAGTTTATAGCCTGGCCCAATAGTGTAAACCTTTAGCAGGGTGAGGATTTGATGTTTTGTGTGTTTTATATACTGTAATAAGCTTTTAAATCTTCCCCTATTTTATTTTTATTTTAACAGGTAATGGAAATGAATATAAGCTATATCCTGAGCTTTCTAGCTATCATGAGAAAACTGGTAAGTAACAAGCTATTGTTTAAAAATGATTTATAACCACCCTACAATCACAAAATTTCCAGGTAATTTATAGGTTATGAAAATATCTAGGAAAGTGTTCAGGACTCTATTCATGGGATTTTTAAAAAGTAAGTTTAATTGTAAATATTCTTTAGTGACAAATGGTATGCTTTTGTTCTCTGATAGGCTTTGAGAGACCAATGGATACTATGCAGGAGCAAGCATTACCATTGCCAGCCCATGGTTTTCTAGTAAAAATATTTCTCAACTTATTTTACTTAAATATTCCTTAGAAATTTTTCTTGAAAGAATTAAGCACTTTAAAAAGTGAATTGAACACACATTAAGGCCAAAGATTAAAGCGCCATTAATTTAATGTCCTAAACTTTTACAATTAAAGTCTTCAAATTATGTGTTACTGGATTTATAAACTATTGAAAAATTAGCCATTTTGTGTAAGTTTAAAGAATATTGTCAAAAAATCGGGTAATCAAAATTTTAAATATTGTCATATAGATAAAAATATTTTAAATGTCTTTCTAGGTTTTCTAGAAACTAGATTTCTGCTGTTCTGGGTTTCCATGCTTCCCACTGTGATCCTATGGCACTGGTCCTGTTGTAAGGCAGTATCCACACACAAGGCATTTGTGGAGGCCAAAAGCCAACTTCTAGGAGTCAGTTCTCTCCTTCTACCATATGGATCCTGGGAATCTGTCTTAGTCTTTCATCTTTTGAAAGGAGAAAATTCTAAGTTTAATGATGTGAACATTGCAGGGATTGAGCAGTGTGGGTTCTGACACCCTTTAGGAAACCAAAAATTAAAAGCTAATCAATCAGTTTCTATCTTAACAACCCATACTTCAACTTCTTTCCTAAAATAATTTACAATCCAATTATATTTTCTTGTTTTAGGTAGTTTGAATCAGCCAATAGAAGTGACAGCACTGTACTCTTTTGAAGGGCAACAGCCAGGTGATTTGAATTTTCAAGCCGGAGACAGAATCACAGTTATATCAAAGACGGATTCACATTTTGATTGGTGGGAAGGAAAACTTCGAGGGCAAACTGGAATTTTTCCAGCCAACTATGTAACTATGAATTAAAGTTCATGCTAGTTTGTTATTTGATAATTACACAAAAATATTTCTGCACAGACAGGATTCATTTATTTACATTAATCTATTTAAACACATCCTTGCTCTGCAAGTATTTTATCCAGTTGGAAAAGATTTTTCTCTGCATATAAATAAATGGTTAAATTAACATGTTACTAAACACTTTGTATTAACTTAATCTCATAAACTATTCTACAGTTGTCATCAACAATTTTTATGGTCATGTTTCTTTTGTGCTTATCAGACCCCACTGACCCTTGAATAATCTGACTGCTTATTACCACAGTTTTAGTGTAAACAAAGCATGTCCGGGGAGCACTGCTCACTTTTATATGAACATGGGTCAACCTCTGAACATCTGGGTAGGGTAGAGTTTTGTTCTTTTCATTTAACAAAGTTTAGGTGATTAAATGAGCTCGTGAACATAAAGAATAGAAGGTTCCCACAGAGTAGAGGGGCCTCAGAGCCTTCAGGAAAAAAGGCTCTGTTTGTCTCCCACCCTGCTGTGTTTTGCTATCCATTCTCTCCCAAGACAAACCATAGAAAATAGAATTTCTGTTCCCAATAAATCTTAGAATCTAGAACCTCTTTTTCTTAAAGCAAATCTCCATGCCTAGAAATAGGAGTCTTCCCCTATGCCTCCACCTTTCCATCTTGGAACTAACCATGAAGAAATTCTATGATGTGCTTTGCCTGGTGAGTCCTAAGATCCACACTAGGCATCAGGCAGGGAATATCAGGTAGTGGCCTCCACCATGGAACCCAAGTGTAAATCAGTCTGGAGCTCCCTTAAAAGATGTCCCATAAGATGATAATCAAATATATTTCCTTTATTTCTCCCTTGTTAACTTGTCTTTTGAGAATGAGTATCATCATGACATTGTATGGCTGGCAGAAAATGGATCACTTCCTTTTCTCCTCTAAAGTAAGCACAATCAAATCATTTTGCATAATACAGGAAACACTTGCCCTGTACCAGAACTTACATTTTTTGGTTAATTTGTAAACCTCAGACCAACTTTAATGACTGATCTTAAACAATTTATCCAACCTCTATGCCTTAGTTTCTCCACCTCTGATGATTGCATAAAATGCTTAAAACAGTGTTGATCATGTAAATAAATCATTAAACACCAGCAACTAGTGTTGCATTTCCTTACATGACAAAGAACCGTGCCTTTTCTAGTTACCACTTGGACTGCATATAACTAAGATTAAATGTGAAGAAGCCTTGTTTTGCATTTCTTATGTGTTCAGGTGGCACAGAGACAGCACAGTTCAGGATGCCTTCCAACACTAATTCTGCCAGACCCATCTTCCTCCTAGAGTTCATTCTCTTGAGTGCTTTCCTTTCAGATACCTGCTCAACCCCTCAAAGTGTAGAGTATCAGACAACTGTCCCATCTGCTGAGCCCTATCTGGGAGACTCAGATCCCAGAAGCTTTGTGTTGTCTGGGGAGCAGTGTCTCAAAGCTACAGGGATGTTTGTACTCTCTCTAACAGGTCAAGTGAAAATATGGACAGATAAACTTGAGGGTTGGTCCACAGGTATTTTCAGAACACCTGTTTTGTTGAAGAAAAATTGAATGAGGCTAACCTAATGAAGAGGAAGAACAATAAATTCCTAAATTAAAACTAAGAAGCTGCAGTAGTTTAGACACTGATAAATACTATAAAGAATATTGTTTATATTCTTTTTATATATTAAATATATATTTATATATGAAATACTATAAAGAATATTATTGGTAGCACATAGAAGCAGGATTTGGCTCCATCAAAGGTGGCTAGGGAGACCCATCCATGGAGTATGTGGCATAAAGACACAGGACTGAGAAAACTCCATAGATAATTCAGATTTCTTGTACAATGTGATGACTGTATTTGGTGATGATGTGTCCTGTTCTTGAAATTGCTAAGACAGTAGATTTTAAATATTTTCTCCCCTATGATGGGGAGGTGAAGTAATATATACTCTAAGTAGATTTAATTACTCCACAATGTTTACATAGTCCAAAACATTTCTCACACATGATAAAGATATCAATTCTACTTTTCAACTAAAATAGATGTTTAGAAAGAATCTTTAGGTAAAATTAGATTGCATTGGATGTACAAAAAGATTTTATAAGCAGAAGAAACAATGAGTATTGTACCTTCACAGGTCGTGAAGGCAAAAAGAAGGCTTGTTGCACCTAGGATTGCAGAGACCCATGGAAGAGGTTTTCATTCTGTGTATCTATGACAGGGGAATACCCTTGTTGTCCTAGAACTGTGGATGGGCAATGAGAAACAAAGGCTGTGAACATGGCCCAGTTAGATGTTTTAGAGGTTTGTATTGTTAATGGAATGGTTTGCAGGGTAAAGAAAGGTCATCAATAAGCTGGCTGTGATCATGAGCAGTTGGAAGTAGAGAAAGCAGGATTTGCCCAGCAAATAAGATGTGTGCTCCATAGTAGAGTAATCACATGGGAGAAGTGGGGTAGGCTTAGTAAAGATAGAAAAGAGGCAAAAGGAAGATGTGGTTATCCTTTTTTTACCATATTAATTTAGGGATCCCACCAGACACATCCAAGTAGAGTTGTGGGTCTGTAATGAAGTGGAAAGATCTGAAGTCAATACTAGAATCTGGAAACATTTGCTATGTAGTTTATGATTAAAAACAGAGAGAGGATTTGTTATGAGGGAGCAGAGCTATACCTGTGCACAGCTCCTGTCAGAAACAGGAACAGAAGAAAAAAATTCTTATGTGGGAAAAAGATGTCCATGTAGGCTCATAGTTCTGAATACATGAGGCAATGAACAGTGCCTTGATGTGGGTACTCAGCAATTCCCTTAGTCACCATGAGCATCCCAAGCAGAGCGCCAGTGGGCAATCACCTGAGTTAGCACTGGCAGATGCTCTTAGGCAGGTAGAGTCTGGGGCCAACTTCCATGCTTATACTCATAGGAAGGAATAAATTCTTAGGCTACATCCTGCTGGCAGAATCGGTGAGTGGAACTATGCAATTTTGAAAGCTTTTGCTGTAATCTCATGAAAACTTGTTTGGCTTTTGTGCTTGGTACTTGAAAAGTCTGAAAGAACTCTAATTGGTCTAAAACATTAGGAATTGTATAGACTATTCATTTTAGTGCCAAAAGGTATTCATTTCCCAGCTGTTTACAACAATAAAATTTAAAATAGCTTATATTATGTTTGAAAACTGTTGACTTTAGATTAGACAGTCTGGAAATAAACCTATTTCTGCTAAGGATTAGCTGATGAATGCAATCCAGACAGACTCCCCTAAGCTCAGATCAGTAGCTCTGGGAGCTCCCTTAGGAACCTGGTTATTAAATCAACTCAGTGAGATTGGTACAATCATTGGCTCAGTGATATACACACCAAAGCATAGCTGTTAAATTTGGGGATGAATTAATAATTTGCAAAGATATTCTATATTACTGAAATAAAAAAGTCAGAGAGTGAAACAGTGTAAATATATCATTTAATTACACTTTAAAAGTATATATTTAAAAGGAAACCATACATTCAAACTGATAACAGGGCTGCATCTGCCCAGTCTGTACAGGAGATATTAGCTGTAAATGTATATTTGTTAATATATAATAATAAGAAGAAAAGTTATTTAAACTTATAAATCTATTTGTCAAGCCCTAGTGAACAAATCTAGTTCTATTTTTACTGCTGTGATCCTGGGAGAGGGGTGGAAGGAGGCAGAGTCACTGTCCTAGGAGCACTGGTAGTGGGCAGTGTGGTGCCCACTGCCTTACTACTGAGGGCATACATGCTGTCAAAGGCCAGAGAACCAGAGAACCACAGCAGCTGAATATATCTCTGTCAACCTACAGGCCATGAATCTGCCATACTAAGGAGACACAGAGATCCTTTATTAGGTCTGCAAGCTGTTTAGAAGGTTGTTGCTGTTTAGAAGGGTGTTAAAGCTCCGTAGAAATGGTACTAACCTTATCCTCTAAGATGCTGCCCCTTCTCACAGAAGACCCAAGTAGAAGCAGAGACCAGGCTCAGGACCCAGGGCTGAGCTCCTATGGTCACCTGTGTGTCATCAATTACATATCCTACAGGCATTCCTCTTGGTCTATGCAGAGCCAGCCCTGCCATGGAGGCCTATCTAAATAACTGCTTTTCAGTGCAGAACATAAACACCTACTGGTGGTCTCATGTAAAAGTGTCAGGCAGGACAGCTGTCACTAGAATGGAGCCTGATCTACAAGATGACTTTGGGTTTCTAAAGGAAAGGACCTGGCTTCAGACCCTAAAGCCTAGTAGTCTGGAAAATGTCTTAGAGTTTCCCCTTCAGAAGAGGTCATATTGTTAGCTGTAATGCTCAAAATGGCACACAGAAAGTAGAACTGTTAGTAAAATAAGAACAAGATAAAAGGTGAGTTGGAGACCCTGTGTTCTGATTAGTTTTATTTTGCAGTTTGTTTTGGTTTAGTTTTTGGCCACTTGACACAAACTAGAGTCATTTGGAAAGAGGAAACCTCAGCTGAGAAAATACCCCCATCAGATTGGCCTGTAGGCAACAATCTAGAGGTATTTTCTTGATTAATGATTGATGCGGGAGGACCCAGCCTACCACTGTGTGTTGTGTTACCACAGGGCAGGTGGTCTTAGATGGTATAAGCAAGTAGGCTGAGCCAGCAATGGGGAGTAAGCCAGTAAATAGCATTCTTTCATGATCTCTGCTTCAGTTCCTGCTTCTAGGTTCCTGCTTTGAGTTCCTGTCCCTACTTCCCTTCATGATATAGGCTGTAAGCTAAAATAAACCCTTTTCTTCCCAAGTTGCTTTCAGTCATAATGTCTTAATCATAGCAATAAAAAAGAAACTAAGGCACCCTATGTGGTTGTTTGAAAGAAAATGACCTCCAAAGCGAGTAGCACTATTAGGAAGTTTGGCCTTGTTGGAGTAGGTATGGCTTTATTGGAGGAAGTGTGTCACTGTGGGGACAGTTTTTGAGGTCTCTTTTGTTCAAGCTTCCCTCTGTGTGACACTGAAGCCTATGGTGATATTTTATTTGTACTGAAATGTGATTTTATTTGTATGTTAATAAATAAAGTTGCCTGGGGGTCAGAGCTAATAGCAAGCCATAGCAGAGCTGGGTGTTGGTGGCGCACGCCTTTAATCCCAGCTCTTGGGAGGCAGAGCTAGGCAGATCTCTGTGTGTTCAAGGATACAGCCAGCATGGAGACAAATGCCTTTAATCTCAATACCAACCATAGAAGACTTGGAGGTCTGTACAGACGGGCAGTGACAAGGAGGTCATGTGGTTGGGTTTGCAACCAATGAGAAGGCAGAATAGAAAGTCAATAAAAAGCACAAACACACAGGAAATAGGTCTCTTTCGGAGAGGTAGGACAACAGCGACAGTGAAGGGTAAGGTTTTTAGCTCTTAGCTATTGCTCTGACCTCTTGGCTTTTATTGCTGTGGATATCGTTCTGTATAAATAAAACACTGATTGGTCAGTGGCCAGGCAGGAAGTATAGGCAGGACTAACAGAGAGGAGAATTCTGGGAAGTGGAAGGCTGAGTAGGAGACACTGCCAGCCGCCGCCATGACAAGCAGCATGTGAAGATGCCGGTAAACCACAAGCCACGTGGCAAGGTATAGATTTATAGAAATGGATTAATTTAAGTTAAGAACAGTTAGCAAGAAGCCTGCCATGGCCATACAGTTTGTAAGCAATATAAGTCTCTGTGTTTACTTGGTTGGATCTGAGTGGCTGTGGGACTGGCGGGTGACAGAGATTTGTCCTGACTGTGGGCCAGGCAGGAAAACTCCAGCTACAGCATCTCTGTATACAGGCTCTGTGTTTCTTATTTAATAAAACGGTTACATCTACAGAGGCCACTTCCTGTTGCCTGCAAGCCAAGATGTAGGACACTCAGCTACTTCTCCAGCACCATGTCTGCCTGCATGCCACCATGTCTTACCAGATGATATAAAACCTCTGAAAATGTAAGCCACCCCAATTAAATGTTTCTCATTTTTAAGTGTTGCCATGGTTGTGATGTCTCTTCACAGCAATAGAAACACTAACTAAGACACCCTATGAGCATTATTTTCTGTCCAGGGATCTCATGCCAAATGCAACATTTGAACAACATTGGAC